ATTTTTCTCTTTCGAGCTAATCAAATTCTTCTTCAAAATTCTCCAAGAACCTTCTTCTTCTAGGTATGTAAGGCTATCATAGTGTTGTACTAGTTCGTCCTCACGCCCAACATATACTTTCAAATTAGTAAAAGAGTAATCTAGGTTTATATCCCTAGATTAGAGTATTCTTGATCTGAGTTGATTTTGAGTTCTTGAGTTCTTGATTCTTTTTGAAATTCTATTCCTAATTATTGAATTGATATACGTTATGCATTAAGATTTTTGAGTAGATTCATTCATGTCTATATTTCAGCATGAACTCTATGAATTGAGTATTTTTGAGATGAGAAGTATCGTTGAATTCTGAGTTCTAGAGTCCTTGAATTCCGAGTATTGAGTTTCTATATTGTTATTGAGATCCTTGAGTTGATTGTTAATGTCTATAATTCAGCATGAACCCTATTTTCAGTTATAAATCTTGAGAAGCTTTTTAAAGTCAACATTTGAGTTTTAAACTGAGTTTTTGAGGAAGTAAAGATGAGTTTGAGAAAGAGTTTTTTTAAAACATGATTAGTATGACAGTCGAGTATGCCATCAATGCTTAAACAATATGGTATCAAGATATGTCATCAATGTTTTTGCAGTATGACTTCCCGAGTCATCAATGATCATATCACAATATGATTTTGATATATTTCTGACAAATAGTTTTCAAATATGAATTCAGTAAGAATATAATGGAACTAAGTATTTCCAAAGGTATTAGTTTTTACATTGAGAAAAGAAAAATTTAGATTTCTAAATAAGTCAATGAGTTCATAGATATTTCAGAGTAGATACCTCTTTTTAGAGGATAGTTTGAGAAATTCTCTCAAACCAAAGGAAGAGTATGTTTTTAAACATTGAGCATGAGTATCTATTATTGGGAGTAGTATGGAGCACATATATGAGTATGAGTTGAGACAACTCACATTCCTCATAAACTATGTATGCCAACATGGGTACATGATCATAATTTTTAGATCAATCCTAACTTGAGGTGTTCTATACCCCCAACAAGGTATAGGACAGTTCTGGCAGCGTGGGCGGAACACTGTGTCATCACGTAACTCATATTGATCGTTGTCGGTTAGAGAATCTCCCAAATAGAGTTAAAAGTGTATTTTTGTTATATCACTTTATATGTTGAGTTCAGAGTTGATTAGTATTTTTCTAAAAGTTTAATGATTTCACTCCTTTATTTCTTTATATTCAGTTGAGTATATGTCTATATCTATTGCAATCCTTTCATTCAGTTATTTGTTATTCAACTATATTACATACTTGTACATTCAATGTACTGATGTCATTCGAACTGGATCTTTTAATGATGCAGATACAAGTTCTTAGGATCATCAACAAGAGTCCGTTAAGATCAGTTCGTCTGCTCGCCAGCTTTTGAGTAAGACCTCCTTTCTTTTGGACGACTCCAGTTTTATAAGTTTTTAATATTAGTAACATTTTGAGTAGTCGTGGGTCTTTTCCCGACACTCGTCTATATATAGTAGAGGCTTCATAAATAGTATTTTTGGAGAGTCTTTCAGTTTTCAAATGTTTTATTTAAACTTAGGTTTCATACTCAGTATATTCAACAAAGTTTTGAAATTTAGTAAGTTATTTTTAAATGTTTCTTTCAATTTGATGCTTATGTATGCTTGTGTTGGTCTTCCTCTTGTAGTCAACCAGGATGAGGGTTTCCTTGGGGACCTGCAATGGTTCTCGAGTGCCAGCCAAGTCCAGGGTTTAGACTCGGGTCATTACAAACTTAGTATCAGAGCATTGAGTTCAAGTGTCCTAGGATGTCTATGAAGTCACGTCAGTAGGTTCTTGTTTATGGTTGTGAGGGCCCCACTTATATAAACGAGGGACTACAAAAATTTAAGAAAAGTTTCCTTTCTTTCATGTTCTGAATCATGCAGTAGAACTGTGTCATAAAGAATTTATTCTAACTCGTACATTTCTCATATCTATTTGACTACCCCTCATACTCAAGGTAGTTGAAAAGCAAAGCCAGATCCTTATAAATGAGTTACTCTCAGAAAAAGTCTTGAGGAAGTCATGAGAATGTAGATGAGCTTGAGAGAAGCCCGTGAGTGAGTTAAGTATTGAGTTTCGAAAGAATGCACTCTCATTCATATGAATTGTGTGTTCAAGCTAAAAGCGAGATGTACTCTCTTCTCTAAACCTTGTTTCAGTTGAGACCCTTATGAGGAAGTGTGTTTTAGATCTTGGGTAGTATTTACACCCGAAAAGATAGTAAGAGTTACGAGGTTATAAGTAGTAGTAGTAAAAGTTCCCAAAGTTAGAAGAATGCATACAGAGATTTAGTAATATAAGAAATGGAGATAACGATGAGGAAAATTATGTTATTGTAGTCATGCACATTGTAAGTTATTAAAGAGGAGTTTTCCCTTATGGGTAGACTAAGAAGTGATGAGTTTGTGTAGATTTTATGATAGAAGGTATAGTAAGAGTTACTAGTATGGGTGAGTTAGAGTATACTTTAACCCGAAAAGAGTTTCTATCAATGTAACATTGTGTTAGTGAAGGACATGTATAGTTGTTGAATAAATGAGTATAGTGTTCATGAGGTGATAGCTCTAAACTAGGCTTATGATTCTAAGAGGAAACCCATAATATTCAGAGGGATACAAAACTAATTAGGCAATGATGTATAGAAAATGGGTAAATACTACTTAAGTTGTTAAAGGAAGTGTGACGGTAAATTGTAAGTATGAAGACTGAGAGATAAAGATTGACTACTTGTCATGAGGTTTTAGTGGGCAAGTGTTTCTTAATTTTTATCTAGTAGTTGTAAGTTAGTATAGTAAGCGAGCAATCATATTGATATACGGGTTTAGTAATAAACATTAAGCTTGAATTTGAGATGAGCGTCATGATCAAAAGAATGGCAACATGAGGGTGATGATGTTAGTCTTGAGATCTGATCTCGTAGACTTGACATAGAGTAGGTGAGGAATTGAGATGTTAGTTGCAATGAATATGAGTGGAACAAATGAGAGATCCTAACTTTTAGATAAGGTTAGTGAAGGTGGCTAAGTCATAGAAGTAGCAAGAGCATTAAGATGTGTACCAAAATGGTATGTAATAAGATGAGATTCCAATTGAGTTAATGATCTTCTTCATGCGTGCTTAGATAGTATAAATAAGGTATTAATGTGGGATAGGATGATGTAAGCATTAAATTACCCCTTAAGAGATAGATGAAGCGGCCTCATAAAACATTGAGAAGAGGTTAAGAGAAGCATCCTAGCAAGAGGTCTTCCTTGGGAATTGAAGGAGTCTTACTACCTGTTTATGGAGAGTTTAGTAGCCATGAGATAAGATTTTCCTGAGTATTAGAATAAGGTGCTTGTAGACCAGTTTAGAGAAGATGGAATAGGTCCATAGATTTCAAAGTGTCAGCTCCAAACCTAAGGGGGAGATGATAAGGTGATAAATCAAGTCAAGTGTTGAGAATGAGATAGCTATGTCTTTGGAAAGAATTAAGGAGGTACATCAATCCATTCATACTCTTGTGTATTCCTTAAAGTTCAGTCATTACAACATCATGATGATTTTTCTTATATCAGAATTGTGTCTATGAACTATGCTCATACACTTTAGAGAGATTCACATCTATGTTCAGTTTCCAGAAAGAGGGGCAAAGACTTTAGCCCATTAATCTCAAGATTAATCCATTAAGTTACGGATATCAGCCTCATGATATGAACCTATTAATATAAGCATTCATGTCTCATAGTATGTTCAGTCTCGCAAATTCATGATCTACTCTCAATGGCTAATAACATAATGTTATGCCATGCATATTCTTATATCAGATATCTCGAGCGAATCATGCTTATGATCTTTCACCCCAAAGCTCCTTCAGTTACCCATTTAAGTTTGAGAGTGAGGTTGTTGGTAGTAGCAATTTGATGATAGAGAAGAAGATTGTTGTTTCTTATTGTGATAGTGATGGTGTGTTTATTCCATCTAAGGTTATGAATGTGGAGGGAGAAGGAGATAAGGTTTTATGATTAGTAATAAGTAAGATTCTTGGTAATAATACATGAAAGTTTTGTTGGTAGAAATGATGAGAGGAGGAGGAATTCTAATAAGGAGTGGCTAAGGTTATATGCTTGAATGTGGTGGTGTTAACATGTGGGCAATGCAGGATGCACTAGGTGTTTCGTGATATTAGCTCAAGGTTAGCTGAATGTAGCAGTAAGGAGTAGTGTCCTTGTTATGGGATTTTTCCTACAGAGGTATAGTACCTGAATCTTGTGAGTTAGATCAGAATAATCACCTTATGTTAAGTACTTGGCGATTTTGAGTTAGGCCTGAGTATAGTAAGAGTAACCCCATTACATTCTCAGTCCAGCCGTCATTCGAGGACGAATGATCCCAAGGAGGAGATATTGTTAGACCCCAAAAAAATCTAAGTTAAGCTCCTTACTGTTGACATCCAATTTTGGCCCTCCACATTTAGTTAATTTTCAAGCTTCTTTGATTTTAAACAATTCGAAAGAATTATTTATGAATCTTTCGAGACCATTTTCAAGGCAATTTGGTCATTTTCCTATCAAATATATATATCTTCATATACTTACAATATACAGATTTATGTATTTATTACTTTGAATAAGTATTTTGGAAAAATCGTTTACTAAAAATAGAGTTTTAACTAAGTGTGCATTTTGTTTCCTCGAAAATCAATTAGAGTACATAACTACTCTTCTTGTTTCAAAATAATTTTAATTGCTATGTTAAATGATCATTTTACATTGTAAAATTTAAGAAGCTTAATAATTAATTAAAATTTATTTCACATGTGATTTAATTGAAATACGGTGAAAGGACCAAGTCCTCCAATCATCCCTTTAAAGACTCATGTGGACCTGGAGAGCACAAATATATTTGGCCCACATTCTTTGACCCAGTCCACTCTTCTTCTAAAATACCCAAACCCATTTTGTTCTTCTTTATTCCAACAGAATGCGCAGTACGCTCGACTTCAGCAATGGTCACCTAGAAAAGAACGAACCCATTCCCAAATTTTTGCCTCTTCAATTCCCCTTTTCTCCTTCAATTCGTACCTTTAAGCGTGCCTAGCACGAGCTCGAGGATAACTGGAGGTTTCCAGAACGTTCCCAGCAACATTATCCTCTCAATGTCCTTTCCTTTTGCCAATTTTCGTTCAAAAATGGTACGAATTTGTACACTACCTAGTTGGCAATCCTTATCCGCTTAAGAATTTTGAAAAAAATGCCCAATTCTCACATCGTTTCCCCCCTCAATTTCAACCCAAAAGTTGTCCTATATAAACTCCTCCCTTCTGCTGTTCATAGTGGCGTTTTGAGACCTGAGAGTACCCCTAAAAAGGTTTAGGAATTCTCGTCTTTGTAGTTTAAAATTTTGTGGTTGCTCGAGTTGAAAGAAGTGGAATCGTCTCCGTCAAACTCGCCGTCCAGTTCGCTGCCCCCTACCAGGTAATCTTTTCTTTATTTCAACATTTTCGTTGGCTCTTAATTATGTCTTATTCATTGAAATTTTGTTTGGCATTAGCTGTTTAAATATGTTTTCAGTAGCTTAAAAAATTGTAAAATTGCTTATCTTTGAATTCGACTAATTTATATGTGAGATGGCCAAGCCTTCCTCTCGGTTAATTAAATTTCAGCATTTTCTATTGTCTAAAGATAAGTTTAATCAGTGTTGAGTGCAGTTAGAGTTGTGATTTTTTTTTTGTATTCAAGCATTCCTAGTTGTTAGTTCGAAGTCTGTAACTTGCATTTATTTTTATTTGGAAATCTCTTGAATACCTAGTTTTCTCTTGATTGATTCACTTATCTAAGTGGTAACAAAATTTGAAATATGGAGTTGTACATTCCCATTCATGATCAGTGAAATGCTCTTCCCTTTTATCTAATCTTTTTATGTGGTTAAACATTCATTTACATGTTTGGGCTGTATGTATACCTTTGGATTTCACATATCAGTAGAGTATTATGCATTCCTTCCCTTGTTTACATTCCATCCAGTTCCCTTTTCACAATGTGGGTACCTTACTTGCTTCTTGTGTTAAGGATATTATTTGTTTTGGAATCATGAGTTGATCCTATGTTTAGTTGAGCTCTAGATGAAGTTGAGTTTTAGTTCAACTTCTCTTTGGTTGCTCCTAAATCCCTTAGATCCTCATGTCACTCCTTTGAGCTACAGATCCTAAATTGCGTACATTGGCTTGGTTTGGATTTTGTCCTATTTGTTGATTATTAGTTTAAATTTGGATGTTACATATCCGTTGTTCTATTTGAGAGTTCATATGTCTTGTAATCATGATCTTTTATTGGTTTGCTCATTTTCTTAAATGGTAGAGCTTGTTCTTCCCTTATTTTTATAATTTTCATGTCAGTTTAAAGAACTCAGCATGTCAGCCTGAAGTACTTTGAAGTCCTCGCTATGATCTGTTATTTTCGCTACCTTCAACATAATTAAGTTAATACATGTCATTTAGTCTTATGTGATTTTCGTGTTATGTTGCCTTGTTCATTCACAGTCCTACCAGATGTTTAAACTTAAAATCTAAAAAGAGATTTGAGTTTCGTACACTGAGTAGTGTTGGGTTTTGTCTTGGTGTGATACTTGTATGAATCTGTTTCAAGTTCCTTATTGGTTTGATCAAAGTTGTATTTAGTAGGAGGTTACTTGATAGCAAAATGGATTAAGAAGGCTTTGTTTAGTTGTTGCTTTATTTTAAGTTGTGGCTGCATATTGTCATTGTTGTTTTGCTTACACTAATTGCGAACTGCTTATGAAATGGTATGTCGTTCAAGCATTTTCGATTACAAAATGTGTTCCCCTGTTCATTTACTGATCGTAGGTGCAAAGATATCAACTCTTTTTTTCTTTAACAATTTGTTGTTAATCTAATCTCAAAATGACATAAATCTTCCAAGTGCTATCCTTGAATACTCTTAGATATTCTTTGTTGTAATTCTAGTTCAATAACTCTTGATAGGATTCTGTTTAAATTTAACCTGCTTTTGGTAGATTTCTTAATTGTTGTGTTTAAATATGGTCATATGTGTCATGTTTTAAATTAAATTCGTGTTGACATTAGCTTGTCCCTTAAGCAATGAGTTTATACTTACTTGATGTAGTTCTTTCTTTAGTTCATATTTGCGGGATGTCAAGTCTAAACTAAAATCTGGAAAATCTCTATCTTTATTTTATTTCGCTGATAGATAATTATAGTCAATTGTTCAGTATAATTTCAGTAGTTATAAGTATGTCACTTAGATTTTTGGAGCATACATGACATTGTTTGCATAGCCAGACTTCTCATACGTTGATTGATTGTTTTCAGCTTTGATTTAATATCATCTTAATAATGTTGTTAATCTTTCTCTCTTTTTCTTGGTGCATGAATACTTTCCCCTCGAGTCCTTGGACTCCTTGCTCCCTTGCATTCTCCTCTCTTTGAGTCAACTTCCATCAAGTCGTGACAGGGAAGCTAATATCATCGGGTTAAATTTCAAATCATTGGCAGCAGTTCAATAGCAGAGTTACAACACTCCCAAAGGCTGAAAGTTGGAAAATTTGGACATAAAAGAATCGAATTCGACTGAAGTAGCAGAAGCCCCAAAGGGCTGAAAATTTGAAGTTTTTGGACTTTCAAAAATAAAAGTCCAATGTTCAGCAGATTACGGCAATCTCGACAGCATTGGGAAACTGGAAGTCCGGATTATTCACTCTTGTTTGCCCATTTTCTTTGTTATTATTTAGATGACCCCTAATGTTTTTGTTTTTCATAACTTGGATGAATCCTTTGGAGGTTTTTAATGGCTTTCTATTTCGTCATCTTTAAGTATTCAATTTTTAAACTCTTTTAAGTTAGGCAATCTAAGCTTTAAGACTAACTTGAGAATTATCCATATTTTTTCATAGTTAGTAATTAGCTTTGAATCCACGTTGATGAGATTGAGCTAACCATTTAGTTCAAAATCTTAACTCGGATAAAATGTTAAGTTAAAATTATTGTTTTGACACTTTACGATTTGACTTATTTCATTACTTGGAATAAGATTAGTGTATAAGTATTGAAAGACTTTTTGCTATTTTAAAACAAGATTTTTCACAAGTAATCTTAAGTTTTCTTTTAAAATTAGCCAACTTTTAAATCCGTTGGTAAACCGCATGTTAGCGGATTCTCTAAGATGCCTAAACCCTTCCTTAGAGAATTAGTTAAACCCTTACTCGACTCTGATTTTATTTAAAATGTTTGTTCTTTAAAAAATCCCCTTTTAAATGGTTTTCTTAATTTTTCCTAAAAAATTAAGTGGCGACTTCCAAATTGCAATTTTTCCAAAATCAATAAAATTGTCAAAGTTGCGAAATGGTTTTGAAACCTTAGTTTTCGAAATCGGGTAATAACACTTACCATTCTTGAATTGCGTATAAGGTCGTACTAAGTGACTCTTAATTTTCTTAGGTGTTAAGGTCAATTGTTTACACTCTGTTTGGATCATTGTTACCCATTGTATTGTATTGTATCGTTACTACACCTACAATGTTTGTTTTGATTGTTACTTTAAATGTATTGTATTGTATTGTTAAATTCCGTTGTTACGTAACAATGAAAACCCCCATTTTATGGAACAACCAATTTGGTGTGTTTCCATTGTTACTTAATTTCTTTTTCCATTATATCTTTACATAATATTTCATAATATTATTTTACCGTTTACCTTATATTATTTAATTCTAGCCAAACCTCCTACCCTAGAATAATTAAGGATATTTTAGTAAATTTATAAATTACAATACAATACGATACAGTCAAACCAAACAATAAAAATGTTATTAAACAACAACAAACAATACACTTATATATAGAGAGAAACTAGCTTATCCTACACCATAAAAACACCCAAATTAGAACATAAAGCATCACAGTAAACTACAAAATATTTACCTTTCATGGGAAAAGCTAGAATAGCTTTTGTGGTCAGCAAATTCTTGAGCATTTGGAATCTCTCCTCACATTTATTAGACCATTCGAATGAAACCTCCTTATGAGTCAAATGGGTCAACTTAGAGGAAATAGAAGCAAACCCCTTCACAAACCGATGGTAATAATCGGCTAAGCCCACAAAAGTGTGAATCTCTAAGACTGAAGTGGTCCTAGTCCAATTCTTAACTATTTTTATCTTATGTAGATCAACCATCACTCACTCTTTAGAAACCATATGCCCTAGGAAGTACACTATAGACAACAAAAATTCACACCTAAATTTTTTAGCAAACAACCGCTTCATTTTAGCAACCCCAAAACAATCCTAAGGCGATTCTCATGCCTCTCCTTTCTCTTAGAAAATATCAAGATGTCATGAATAAAATAACGAATAAATATAAATAGTGTTTGAAAACACTATTCATTAAGCTCATAAAAGTGATAGGAGCATTAGTAGGTCTGAAAGGTATAACCAGAAATGCACAATGTGAATATAAGGTCCAAAAGGTTGTCTCACAAATATTTTTAGCCTGAATCTTAAGTTCATCATACATGGGCCTCAAGTCAATCTTAGAGAAGATTGACACACCTTGAAACTAATCAAAGAAGTCATATATGCACAAAAGGGGATACTTATTTCAAATAGTGACCTTGTTCAACTAGTAATAGTCAATACACACATACTCCTATATTTCTTCTTCACAAATAGGACGAAAGCACCCCAAGGAGATGAACTTATTCATATAAACACCTTACTGAACAAGTCTCACAACTAATCTTTCAACTCTCTCAACTCAATCAATGGAAAAATCAATATCCTAATTTATTGGTATGTCAAGTAAGTTAGTCAGAAACACCTCTAATACATTACATACCACTCGAACATACCCAATAAAAGATGCATCTACACTTGTATATCAAAGATGATCCATAAATGCTAAATATCCTCTCTATACTAACTTATTTACACAAATATAGGATATGATCTTTTTAGGAGAAGGATTATAAACTCCCTTCCACTCTAATCTAAACACACCAAGCATGGAGATATAGACAATTTTAGTATGATAGTCTACGATAGAATGATATGGATTCAGCCAACTTATCCCCAAAATAACATCACAATATATTATATCTAGGATCACTATATCAACCCAAGTTTAATAACCTATAAAAGTCACCTAACAAGAATTGTAGACCGTATGTAGATCATAGAATCTTCCAGTAGAGTAGGAACATGAATAGGAACATCAAGAGATTAATAAATCATATCCATACTAACAATAAAGTAAGAATATACATAAGAAAAGGCGAAACCGAGATAAAAACAAGAGCAAGTATCCATTCGGTCATAAACAAGAAGGGTACTTATGATCTTTACGCCAGTCACCTTATGTTTACCCAATAAAACATAAACAATCAACTTTTACCAGTCTGGGTACTTTCTCTACTCGGCTGAGTTCTACCTCTACCTTCCTAAGCATCTCCTCTAGCGTGATGAGTGCTACCCCTACCGATTATGTGTCCACCTCACCCAAGATGAGGACGAATCCTACTAAATGGCTCTCTTCTTTATCTTCTAGAACAATAGATTGAAAAGTTGGTTGTAGAACAATATTTCTAGTCTATCTAAATCTAGGACATCATTTATGAATGTGCTCTAGCTTACCACGCTCTTAATAGACTCAGTCCAAAGTTGGCCTCTATTTTGAAGTAAAAGAGGTTGAATATCCTCGCTATCTTGATAGTTCTTGTGTGGTCCAAGATGGACCTCTGCAGATGATACCAGCATAGCTACTTGAATTGGGCATCTAGAATACCCCTTAAGAAATTAGTGCCAAGGGAACTAGCCCCTTAGAAAAGGACCCATTGAAACCACCACCCTTGATGACCTTCTTTTCTGGAGACTTAGGACAAAAATGTTGCTTCACACCTTCTACATTCATAGCATGCTCAACCACTTCCTAAAATGACATACTATAAGTTACAATCTATAGAGTTGCAAGCTGGAGTCCCATATTTAGTCCCTTAACAAATCATCCATTGGCTGGGTGCTTTAAATAAGAAGATTTCAAAAAAATGTGTATGTAAAAAGAAGTATATGGTGTTTTCTCATCTTCTATGGAAAGTAGTTGCAAAGAATACATGGATAAGGAGTGTAAAAAAGTCTCATATTATATGAAAAACAAACTCCCCTGCTCTATAATGGTGAACTCATTATGTCTACTTTCTCGCAAAGTACAAGGAACATACTTTTCAAAAAAGATAGAGTAAAATTGGGTCCAAGTCAAAGAAAGTGAACTGATAGGTCTACACTTAACATATGCCCTCCATCATAAACTTAGTCAGCCTATGCCTGCTAAGTACCGCTTGCTGGAACTCATATTACACGTCTGCACCCTATAGATCATAGTATGAGTTCTCACCATTGACGTGTACCTCATGCATAGCAACTATTTCTCGAAAACCTGAGGTGAGCTCCTAACGTTTGGAGTTGCCAATCTCCTTCTAGTTTTACTGGACCAATCTTTATTTTGTATTTGGAGATAATCATGTGTATATTTGTATTAACCTTGTACTCATGTTGTAAATAGTTATTGGACTATCGACTAATACCAGGTCATGAGGTGTTATATGTATATCTTGTTTCTCTTTCTTTATCTTTTTGTTTCTCTATTTGTTCTTTATTCTCTGAATTCTCCTCTTCCGTATGATAGCCCATTGCTTCTGGTTCCGAGTTATGGGTTTGCCTTATCTACTAGTGGAATGTTAGTAGGTTCCATCATGACGTGGGATTTCGGGTCATGACACTTTTGACCTTGATATTTAATCTTGATTGACTTGTTCTTGATTGTACTTGTCTTCAAGGGACTCGAGCTTGATCTTGAATCTTGATGAACTTGTACATTAATTCAAGTGCATTTGAGCTTGTTCTTGAATCTGGTGGTCCTGGTCTTGAGTTGTTTCTTGAACTTGAGTGCTTGAATGCTTCAACTTGTAGGTTGTAGAGAAATCTACGGTGTTTGATCCACAAGCTCTCTTTGGCTACTTGTTGAAATTCTGATGTCTTTTCTTAACGATGTGGACCCTATTTATTGTTATAGAATGGAAGAGTCGTGATGAGGACATGCTTCCTCAGACCAATCTGATTTCAGTGACATGATGATATTTGATTGGTCAAAACATGTCACTTGTACTCATGTGACACATTTTTATTTGTCTTTGATTTGGCTAGGCATGTCATATCATTTGTTACGTGGCATAAGCCTGTTGGCTCCTTCGCTTTACTTGGTCTGCTACATCATTTAATATGTGACACCAAATTTGACTTGTAGAATGAGATGACAACTTGGACTTTGGCAACGTAGGTCTGTCATTTGTTATCCATTTTGACAGGCTAGCCCAATGAAATTTAGATTTAATTAAATCCTTACTTAGTGGACTTTAAAAATTAATCAAATAGTACTTATCCATAATATTTATTTGGACTAATATATCTTGAGTTTAATAAAATCTAAATTCTTTACGGATTTTAAATTTAACAGAACTTTGTTATCCACAAAAATATAGTGATATTTAACCATGGTTCATTATTTATTCTGAAAAAAGGTAGACTAACCATATGAAAATATCGAAAATAATTATTTATAATTAACATTCATAGTAAGAAAATATATGAAGAGTAAATATTCATATAAAAAATAAAACTTTTCCAAGGGAATTCATCTTGATTGAAATTAAAACTTTAGTGAGAAGAATTCAAACCAAAAAACATAATAAAATAATGTGGATCTTGCCCCAATAATAGTGAGACGAACTGAATCTTAGGCTCAAGACCAGTTTATGT